GAGACTGCTGGGTGTCATATTTAGCCAGCGTGGGGCTGGTAAGTAAGCCTTCTGTTTGGATCAGTCAAGGATTCAATTTTGTTTTCATCTCTTGAATGGCCCGGGGCCCTGTCAGAACTCCAGGGCCCATCTAAGTGGCTCACTGCCTGTAATCCCAGCATTCTGGGAGGCCAATGCCAGCGGATCACATGAAGTCAAAAGTTGGAGACTGGCCGGGCCAACATGGTACAACCCTGTCTCTACTAAAAATACAAAAATTAGCTGGACATGGTGGTGCATGCCTGTAATCCCAGCTACTCAGGAGGCTGAGGCTGGAGAGTCACTTGAACCCAGGAGGCAGGGCTGAGATTGCACCATTGCACTCCAGTTTGGGCAACAGATCGAGACTCTATCTCAACAACAATAACAACAAAAACTTCAGCTGATCTTAAGTCAAGGGTCTTGTCAAAAATACTCAAGAGCCAGCTTTCAGTGGTTCCCACTGGCCAGTGATGAGACAATGTAAGCATCAGGGATATAAAGTATATTCAATATGTTTAAATCCTTGAGTTTGTAATAGCACTTTAAAAATATTGATTGCCCAGCCTAGGCAACATAGCAACAACTTTTCTCTACAAGAAATAAAAAAGGCAAGTGTGGTAGTCCTAGCTTCTTGATGGGGTACACTGAGGCAGGAGGATCACTTGAGCCCAGGAGTCTGAGGCTGCAGTGGGCTCTGACTGCAGCATTGTGCTCTAGCCTGGGTGACTGAGTGAGACCTCTCACCAAAATATAGATATAGATATATCTCTCTTTATATATTGATCAAAATCATGTATTTTGATCAATATATACATTATTTTGAAAATTTGTGAATAAAGAAAACAAATATTTGTCCTGTCTTTCTGACAGGAACGATACCAAATAAAATGGTAGATGAAGGGAAATTTTTTTTCTTTATAGAAAATTTTCAGCTGATAAATGAAGGAATGAAAGAATTAGTTTTATTTATTTATTTATTTATTTATATTTTTTTGAGATAGAGTCTCACTCTGTTACCCAGGCTGGAGTGTAGTGGCACGATCTCGGCTCACTGCAGCCTCTGCCTCCCAGGTTCAAGCAATTCTCCTGCCCCAGTCTCCCAAGTAGCTGGGATTATCGGTGCCCACCACCACACACAGCTAATTTTTGTATTTTTAGTAGAGAAGGAGTTTGTCATGTTGGCCAGGCTGGTCTTGAACTCCTGACCTCAGGTGATTCACCTGCCTCAGCCTCCCAAAGTGTTGGGATAACAGGTATAAGTCACCGCTCCCAGGCAGAATGGCAGAATTAGAATATCACTGTTTTCTAATTGTAAATGAATGAATAAATCTAGAGATTAATCATCAGTAGCTACTAACATCATGAAAAACATACTTTCTTCTCAATTTTGTGCCTCTGATAGAAGAACACAATGAAATGAACACCTGTGCCGGCAAAAAAACTGAACTGAATACAAGTGAGCTAGATCCAACTACCCATTTCCAGGAAATGGAACCGAGGAACATGTCAAATGATACAGATTATGAGACACTCTACAGAATAAAGTGCCCAATTACTAAAACAAATGAATTATAATCAGAGAAAAATGGAGAAAGCCAAAGAGACTTTATGAGACATACTACCCAGTTGCAAGGTGTGGGTTCAAACAAACTGTAAAAATCTTATTAAAATATTGATCATTGCCAAAGTGAACACTAGTCAGATATTTGATGATCTTTAGGAATTATTAACGTTTTAATTTTAATCTTTCAAGGTGGAGTCTCACTCTATTGTCCAGGCTGGAGTGCACAGGTGATATATTAGTTCACCGAGACCTCTGCCTCCCAGGTTCAAGTGTTTCTCTCACCTCAGCCTCCTGAGTAGCTGGGACTACAGGTGCATGCCATCATGCCTGGCTAATTTTTTTTTATTTTTATTTTTAGTGGAGATCAGATTTCACCATGTTGGCTAGGCTGGTCTTGAAATCCTGACCTCAAGTGATCCACCTGTCTTGGCCTCCCAAAGTGCTGGGATTACAGGTGTAAGCCATTGTGCCTGGCTTATTGTTAACTTTTCAGATATGCTAATGGTAACATGGTTAAGTGTGTAAGCGATCAAGCTTTTATTTTTTAGGGAGACAAATGGAACTATGCATCATTTAGATGAATCGTACAAAATCTAGAATTTGCTTTAAAAATAATAGGAGAGGGGATGGAGAGGGATGGGTTGAGGTCTTCATAAAGCAAGATTAGTCATGAGCTAATAATTGTTGAAAGTGGTCCATTGGCTCATGGGAGTTTAATATTTTCCATAACAGAAAAGTTTAAACAGCTGGGAGTGTTAGCTCACTCCTGTAATTCCAGCAATTTGGAAGGCCGAGGTGGGTGAAGGTCAAGAGATGGAGACCATCCTGGCCAACATGGCGAAACCCCGCCTCTCCTAAAAATACAAAAATTAGCTGGGCATGGTGGCCCACACCTGTAGTCCCAGCTACTCGGGAAGCTGAGGCAGGGGAATCACTTGAACCCGGGAGGCAGAGAGGTTGCAGTGAATGCCATTGCACTCCAGCCTGGCGACAGAGGGATACTTGGTCTAAAAAAAAAAAAAAAGAAAAGTTTAAAAACATTCATTGGCCAATCTATCTGTCCATTTCTTTTAATATTAAAAACATAAACTATTATTAGCAGTATTAGATTAATATGAAGTCTCACTTTCTTGATTCACCCAGTCCATTTCATGGGAGATGTGGCGGTTTCTCTTGGGTGTTAGAAAACCATTCACCAGCCCAGTGACTTGGGAGCTTCAGTTCTCTGAGTCTCCCCGTATTCCTTTGGAAAACGAGAGATGGTGATGATTTCTACCATCCTGCCTGAAAGCTGACAGTTGCAGTAACTAAGAGATTTGGGTCCTGCAGTCTGACCGTCTGGGTTGGAATCGAGCCTCCCCCTAGGTATACCCTTGGGTAAATTTACTTCATCCTTCAGGGCTTCATCTTCCTGTTTTGTAAAATGTAAATAACAACAACGCTGACTACAAAGGGCTGTTGTGAAGATTACAGGAAAGATTTCATGGATTCATTCCACCAACACTGAACACCTGCTCTCCAGCTCTGGGAGGGGAATGTGGTGGAGTGGCAAAGAAAATACAGGGGCCGGGCCAGATCACATACGCTAAACACTAAATAAGTATTTCAAATAGCTAGAACTGAGACGAAAATACAACGCAGCAATTTGATGGACGGCAACTTCGGGAAAGGTGAGCTGCAACATTAACTAGGCTGATCTGGGACAGTCTGGCAGAGGTGATATCTGAGCCCCACCTGACTTAGAGGACGTCAGCTATGGATGATCCGGGTTTCCCTGTGCAGCAGCAGTTCTCAACCCCGGCGACTGCACCGCCCTAAACCTCCCTCCACTTTTGTCAATGTCTGGGGATTTCTGGTTGCCACCACTGCGGATTGGAGGGTTTGTTCTCGTATCTAGTGGGTACAGGCTAGGAACACCGCCCAGTATCCTACAGTGCACAGGACACCCCAAGTCCCCCAAATTAGCCGGTCCATAGATAAAGCGAGAAGAGCAGGGGTAAGGGTCCTGCAGGACTCAGAAAGGAGCTTGTTGTGTTCGGAAAACTCAAAATCCAGTGTGGCTGAGTGAGGATGATGAAGAATGAGGTGGACGGGGCTGAACTATGCAGCACTTTTCAGGGCATGGTGAGGAATTTGGAATTATCCCCAAAGCAGTGGGGAGCCCTTGAAGAATTTTAAACAGAAGGGGAAGGTAACCCATGTGAAACGCTTTGCATATATAAGCGCTCAGTAAATAGTGTCTATTATTAATATTATTATCACCGTTGTGTCTTCCCTACTTTGCTCCAGACCCGGCCCACGCCTCAGCGCGGCCGCAGTGACTCCTCCTGGCCAGCAGAGGGCGCCAGCCGACACTTGGCCGCCGGCCGCCCGGGGCGGGCCTCCTCTTGCCGTCCCCTTCCTCGTCTTTTCCCCTCAGGAGAAGTAGGGAAGGTGGCGGCGGTGGCGGTTGTCCCGGCCGGGCCGGTTGGTGTGGCCCGTCAGCCCGCGCACCGCAGCGCCTGCGCCGCGTCGAGCCCAGCAGAGCCGAGCCGCGGCGGCCAGGTCCGGCGCGGGCGGCGCGCGCTGACGGAGGGCGGCGGCCGCGGCCAGGGCGGCCCGTGGGACCGCGGGCCCCCGGCGCAGCGCCGCCCGGCTCTCGGCCCTGCCGGCCTCCTCCCTCGGCACCGCGGCCATGGCGGCCAGCGCGAAGCGGAAGCAGGAGGAGAAGCACCTGAAGATGCTGCGGGACATGACTGGCCTCCCGCACAACCGAAAGTGCTTCGACTGCGACCAGCGCGGCCCCACCTACGTGAACATGACGGTCGGCTCCTTCGTGTGTACCTCCTGCTCCGGCAGCCTGTGAGTGCGGGGCGGCCGGGCGGGTGTCGGGCCCTTCCCGGGAGGTGGGGGAGAGGGCGGCGGGGCCGGGATCCTGCCGGGGCCTGGGAAGCGCGGGGCGGCGTGGGAGGAGGTCGGGGGCGGCCGTTGGGCGCCGGCTGGCGGGCGCGGCGTGGGAGGCTGCGGGCTGGATGTGCTGGGCCGAGGCAGCCGGGCTGGGGATGCGTTTTCTGTTTTGCTGGGTGAGGGTTAACGCTCTGGGCAGCCTTCGTGGGAGGGACGTGGGCAGGGTTGGGGTCAGGGAGGGGGCGGCCGGGGCGAGCCTCCCGGGTCTCCCTCGAGCCTGCGGCCGCCGCCCTCGCTCCCCAGCTCCCCGGGGCGCCGAGCTGTGGGGGGAAGACGCTGGGAGGCCGGGAAGGTCCGTGCGGGTCCTTTGTGTGCCCCGCCTCTCAGCGGCCCGGGCGCGGCGGTGCGGAGCGAGGCACCTGCCGGGCGCCGGCGCAGGGGGTCAGGGAGAAGCGGGGTGGGAGGAGCAGGGACGCCTCGCTTGTGCCTTTTTTTCTGGATGGAGAGTATCTAGGTAACTGGAAGAAAGCAAGCACTTCGGAACAGTAGCAGGATGAAAACATCTTAATGGCAGATATGTGAATCCCCAGGGAAAAGTTCGAAAGGCTTAATTGCGAGAGGGGAAGGCAGAGGAGCAGATTTGAAGTCGTTGGGGTTTACTTTTATGGTCCGAAGAGAGTGTTGAGGACTTTGAGGAAACTTTTAATGACGATAAGGTACAGTCTAGGAGCTGTATCGCTCTAAATATGATGGAGGTATCTGTGAGATTTATCTGTATCTGTTATCAATACCCAGGTGCCCTGGCTGTACACAGAAATGAGGAGATCTAGCTAGTCAGCATGTTTTCAGAAAGACAGTACCGTCCTGAGTTACTGGGATTATTTGTGTTTGTGCTTCATTAAGCTTTATTTTGATAAAGATTTTTATTGCCGTGCAATTTCATTTGGAAAATTTACAGGTGGTTTTGGAATTGATAAAATGCCTTTATGTTACTGATTATCTTGCATTCAAAGTTACAACGTGGCAGTTGCTAAGTATTCTTAAAACCTTTGCTTGTAAGATTAATACTGAGACAAAGGATATAATACTTTATGTGGGAACATTGATTTCTTAGAAAATGCAGAACATGCCCAGTAATATACTATTTGCTTTTTAAAGTTGGGCAAAGAGGCGTTATTAGTATTACATGAATATTACTTCTTCAGCGGACTTTTTTGGGTGCTTATTAGGTTGTGTAAAGCCCTGGGGTATGCTACTACAGCAAAGTCTTGTTCTCTTGGCTCTTACAGTCTAGTGGGGATACTTAAGTAAGAAAAAGAGTCATAGGCAAGTATTGTGCTGAGCATTCAAATTGTTTGATAGGAGAGTCCTCACGGTTACTTTTAGGCTGTGTAATCAGGCAGACACTCTGAGAAGTTGCCAGTTAGTGATATTCTTGAATTGCTACAGAATCACAGAGCTAGGTGATATCAAAGATGTAGTCTGGTTCATGCATTTCATTTACAGAAAAAGGAGTAAAGCTAGAAAGTTGTTACTTATGTTGGACAACGTTGGTTCCAAAATGAAGACAATAGAACAATTTTAATTGTATTTGATTTTTATTACATGCTTAAGAAGTATGTCCTGCTTTTACTAAACACAGGTCCTTTAATGCATTTAAAGTATTTGGTTTGAAAAAAATACGTATATCTACAGTTCTGGATTTCTGACATTTCTCTGTAGTCCTTGTAAGTGCAGCAGCGAGTATGTAATATCAAGGAAATATTTTCCAATTTCTTTCTAGATACCACATTTCAACAACATTTTATATAAAAGGATATCTCAGTATAATGACAGTTGTCTGTCTTAATGAAATTTAATTCATTAATTTTGAAGTCCTGTGGCCGTTAGGGCTTCATTTCTCTATTGAGTCATGATTCCTCAAATATTTATTGGCCACTTGTCCTGTGTCATATACATGTGGGAGGCACTGGAGTACCTGGATCTTAACTGTACTGTGGAGTGTGCTTTCTAAGTATGTAAACACATGGTACTAGGTACACATGGCTTTGAATTCTGACACCAAGTATTATGCAGTATTCAGAATGCCACTTAATCTATTCGAGCTTGAGTTTTCTCATATATGAAACAGTGAGGATAAGATTTCTCTTGTAGGTTTTGGATGTAGATTTCTTTTCATTATTAAAAATAATGTATAATAAGTGCCCCATAGATGAGAAGCATCAAGGGAGAGGACATTCCATGAGTAAGGGAACAATACTGTATGTGAAAGATATTAAATGAGAAATATCCTAATAAAAATCTATCATTTTAGATTTTATGGTTGTAACTCAAAACCGATATCAAATTGGTTTAAAAATACGAAGGGTTTATTGAATAATTTTAAAGTAAAGCTATCCAGTGGCTTAATAATAATGCCTAGATTTTCCTCATGCAAGTATGGTTGTCCCCAGCTCCTGGGTCCTACTGCCTTAATTATGTCACTGGTGCAGCACTTTCAGGAGTTCTGCATTTCCTTCTGATTGGGTTAGCTTAGATCATGTTACAGGTGGACACATGTTCTACTTTATTGTCACAGGGATCCCCAAATAGAGTTCTCAAATCTGAACTCTAGAATTCTTGGGATGTAGGGAATGAAGACTGGAATGGCAGCCATCAAATGTCTACAGTAGAACACTCAAGAGACAATAAGCTGCTGAAGATTTTTTTCTTTGACAAGCACTAATACAGGAACATAATTTAGGAAGGATAATATAACTCTTGGGTTTAATAATTATGTATTTGCTGTTTAGATGACATGGTATAATTTAAAGAATATGAATTTGGAAGTCAGATTTTGACAGTGCTACTAGCTTCATGACTTAGGGCAAGGCATTAAGCCAGGCCACTACGTGCAGGTGGGCCTAGATCCATCCTCTTAGCCTCAGTTTCTTTATTTGTGATAAGAAGATAACATATAGCTCAGGTTTGTTAAGAGGATTAAATGATACTTATTGAGCACCTACTGTATTTGAGGATAGGGCTAATCAGTGGAGTTAGAGATACTGAAATAAGGCATGCTAACTGCCGTTCCTTGATTTACCTGGAAAATGTGAATCGTAGCAAATAGTATCCACTGTCATGAATTCTAAATTTTAGGATAGTGGCATCTTTCTGTCATTTATAGTAATAGCTTTTTTAAAAGTAATTGAACTAGTATCTTATTGTTAATGTTACCAGACTTGTAGCTAATCTTTCCTGTTTCTTTTTTTCCAGATGACTCTCCTATATGCTTGAATGATGTTCTTTTAGAGTGTATAACTGAATTTAGATTGTGAACCTTTAAAATAGAGCAGGGATTTATATTCTTAATTCCTTTTTTAGATATTTTGATGTGGCCACGTTCCCTTAAGTATTTTGATAATGTAACGTTTCAATTTAGAGTAAGTGGCCAAAATTTTTGATACTTTTTCTTTTTCTTTTTTCTTTTTTTTTTGAGACAGAGTCTCACTCTGTTGCCCAGGCTGGAGCACAGTGTGCGATCTTGGCCTACTGCAACCTCTATATCCCAGGTTCAAGCCATTCTCCTACCTCAGCCTGTCAAGTAGCTGGGATTACAGGTGCCCACCAGCATGCCCAGCTAGTTTTTGTATTTTTAGTAGAGATGGGGTTTTGCCATGTTGGTTGGCCAGGCTGGTCTTGAATTTCTGACCTCAGGTGATGCATCACCTTGGCCTCCCAAAGTACTGGAATTACAGGCGTGAGCAGCCTTGCCTGGCCTTGATACTTTTTCGATCATGAAGGACACATTTTTTTATTTTAAGCAAATGTTTATTAAGTGCCAGTTACTAGCTGATGTGCTGGAGATATAACAGTTAAAGTATTTATTGAAAAAAATAAAATAAAAACTATTTGAGTGCTAGTTGTGTGACAGACATTCTAGTAACAGTCATATGAGGAAGGTAATATTATCCAAACTGAACTTTAAGTTGTAAAATTAGTACTCACTCTTAGTGTTTTGTTGTTATCTGCTAGAATTTGGGATCTGGAACTTTGCTGATTCCACCACCAAAGAATATATGGTTACCATGGTTACTGTAAATTGTGAATTCTATATTTTGGGAATTTAAATCGTTGATTTTACTTCATTGTGTTTTAAATGGCAGAATAGACTTTTTTTTTTTTTTTTTTTTTTGAGATGGAGTTTCACTCTTGTGGTCCAGGCTGGAGTGCAGTGGCTTGATCTCAGCTCACTGCAACCTTTGCCTCCCAGATTCAAGTGATTCTTTTGCCTCAGCCTCCCAAATAGCTGGGATTACGGGCATGCACCACCATGCCCGGCTAATTTTTTTTGTGTTTTTAGTAGAGACGGGGTTTCACTGTATTGGCTAGGCTGGTCTCAAACTTCTGACCTCAGGTGATCCACCTCCCTTGGCCTCCAAAAGTGAGCCACCATGCCCCGCCCAGAATAGATATTTTATGATGCATCATAAATGTTTGCTTTATGGCTTTGTCATGCCTTTTATTATTTTTGAGTAACTTCTTAACTCCAAAATGTGTGTTCTTATTTTTGAGTTTTATTGAGAAGATTCAGTGGGAAGATGGTGGCATTCCACCAGCAATTCTTTTGAATTTGGCACGTCCATACTACCATGTGCCGTAATTCTCTTGCTATTTTTTATATTTGAACTCTAATTAGAAGCTCTCATTCTATGCACTCAGGATTGATAGTAGATAAGTTTATAAAAAAAATTCAGTTAAAGCAAGCAATCAGTAAAAAAGAGAAAAAATATATACATACACACATACGTATACATGTATCTATTATATAGCACACATAGTGTTTTTTTTTTTTTTGGTTTTGTTGTTGTTTTGAGATAGGCTCTCTATTGCATAGGCTGGAGTGCAGTGGCAATATCGTGGTTCACTGCACCCTTGACCTTCCCGGGCTCAGGTGATCCTCCGACCTCAGCTTC